TTATTTCTTTTTAAAAAAAATATTAATCCCCTTTTGTAGCCCCACCTTACCCTAAGGTTTGGTTGGGTGGGCATGATTTGAACAAATTTGAATATGCACTACCATTGAATGCTTGTACACTGTATATAAATATCACTAATCATGGTCTGCTGTTCTTGAAAGGAAGGAAAAAACATTTTCCCTACATGCTCCAATGTAAAACTTGTTTCATATTTTCTGGCCCTGTGGTTCTTGAGAAGAAGATTTTCAAATAACCCCATCCAATTTTCACTATTTCTTAATTATCTCCCCTTGGAAGAGGGTGTGGCCCTTCATTTGAACAAACCTGAATGCCTTTCATCTAAGGATAGTGTGTGCCAGTTTGGTTGAAATTGACAGAGTGGTTCTGGAGAAGATGAAATTGTAAAAAAAAAAAAAATTGAGACAACGATGAAGACAATGACAGACAACAGATAAATTTTGTCAGAAAAGCTCACTTAACGAGGTTCGCTCCCAAGCTTTTGAGCAGATTTTTATCTTAACCTATATTTCAAAAATTCTGAATAATGTTTTAATTCTTACAATAAATTTGGATTCTACAATGCCAATTCAACTACATTCAGTTAAAACTCCATAATTAATTTCCATACCAAAAGCATTAAGTGAGGAACTATATTTTGTGGTAGAAGTTTTTTTTAGAAGAAAATGATCCTTTTTTCTCTTTATAAAGTATTTAAAGTATGTTAAGTTTGGAAAGTTTGGATTCCTATTTTTACATGCAGTCTGCACACAGAGTTATTTTGTGCAGTGAACTGCTTTATACTGGTCCTAAATTATATATTAAATAAACTGTCATGAATTCTATCATAATATTTGATTAATATAGCAAATATATTGTGAAAATTAAGAAAAAAATAGCCCTAATTTAAGCTTAAAATTGGCACTATTTTAGTAATATCTAAAAATTAACATCACAGACCCCCACTTTTAATTTTCTAATCTGAATATATGAGATACTTTTAACCATTCCTCTTAAATTCAGTAAAAGGTCATTACTTTCAAATGATTTTTTTGCTTGTTAAATTTTTAATGCCAGAAAAATGAATTTTTTGAGTGCAAAAAAGTCAAATAATTGAACATGCGGAGTAATTTGAAAATTTTTTCATTGTCACAAATTTTAATGTGTCTATTCAAGATGAAATAAGACTGTGTTTGTTCCCATAATTTATTTGAATAAGAATATTGGAGGAAAAACTTTAAAAACTTTAAAAATTGATTTATGTGGAAGAGGTTTTTACAGTGCAAAAAGGTAAAACTAAATGCTCTGTAGCTCCAAAAGAAGCACATTGACCCCCATTTTTTGTTTTGATTTTTAATTAAGCAATGTGTATAAATTCTAAAAATATACTTGATAAAAAAATCTCATTACTTTTGATGGCAGGATCCAACCTCCTTAAGCCTTCAGCTCAGGTGAGCTAAAAATACACCCCATACAATTTATAACCTTGAACCTTTATGCAATTCACAACGAACTCAATAACAGACTGTCTACTCACACATTATGGCAGCAACATTTTTCTCCTTTCTAAATCTGAATTTCTTCAACCTGTCAACAACCTCTGCTGGTATATCACAGACTTGAACATTTTGTGCCTGAATTGAAAATATGAAATCAGGAAATAAAATGTATATACATGTATTTATATACTGTAAACACAGTAACTGTAATATACTATTAAAAAAGTGATGCCTAATAATTTGATAGGATGTAAGTACATGTATATAGTATATCTGCAAACTTATGAAGCAGGAAACAAAAATGCCTTGATTATGTAATAAAATTCATTTTCAGTCCAATTTCAGCAAACATCTTACCCTAGAAATAACATACAGGGAAACATATTACAAGTATATTCAAGATACCTTAGTTAAAATGTACTTATTAAAGCATTAGCATCAATAGTTTTTTTTATATAGAAATAAAAGTAAATATTCAAAAAACATTATTTTACAAGAGACATCAACAAATTTGTCAGAAGCAGTGTCTCAGTTTGCATTGTTTGTAGATTATTTGAGATTGTAAGATTGATTACTGCTTGTTATCTTCACCTTTTTCATGAGTTAGAATTAAATCTAACTTTGTCTTGAGACAAGCCCATATCATAGTTAGAATAAGTTCTATATCGCTGTAATGTAGCAAATGGGAGCAGATCAGCTCTGAAACAATTCTGAAGAATACCAAAGGAGTTGCACTGAAAGTAACAACCAAATTAATCACAACAAACTTTTTTTGAGCTTGTATATGCCTTTTACCCTTAAAAATAATCTATATATAAAGATGAAAATTCAACTCATTTTCATAACATTTTTTTATGCTTCAAAATTACATGCCATGAGGACATTAAGAGCTCTCTGATTATTCGTAGTAAATGTGTAGTTTATAATGATATGCCCCTGGAAACATGGAATGAATTATATTGTTAAACTGGGTCAGTAGCTGGTCAATATCATTTTTTAAAACGATAGACTATTATATCTATGGCTTGGTTATTTGATCATACTCTGAGCATGCTCTGAGTATCGATTAAGATGGGAGACATAAAGACCATATGCAGGATATGCAGAATAATACTAAATGAATATAAAGGAAGGTTGACGATGGAAACAGAGGAGATTATTTACCGATTTCTACCAATTTTTAAACATTAAGAACGTTTCAAATACTTTCTTCAAACATGAAATCACTACTCAAGGGATAAACGCAAAGAACGAAGATATCTACATAGTATATTAAACAAGTCAAATAGAATTTACACAGTTTGCCTCAGAGGCCAGAGGAAATTCGAGGAAATGCCCCTCCCCCTATATCCAGAAAAAGATGTTTAAATGACTAGTTACTTAATTCAATTAGAGTGAAAATTATTATCAGGACTAATACAATTTTCAAGAATCGAAAAAATGAAGGAAATACAAGGACAGTAAAAAAAAAAAAATGAAACTAAACTTTAAAGCTAATAAGTCTTCTTTTCTTACCATTTTAACCGGAAATAGGAAGTGCTTTACTGTTACCTCCTTTATTTACAAAACGAAAAATGTTTTCACTATTTCTTTGGGGAATGTCTTTTTTCATAACTTTCATACACAAGTCAAAGAGTTTACTTTCTTATCCCTAATACCTAATAAATTTACTTCTTATTTCTTTCTATACCATAGAGGACTAATAATTAACAGACTATAAAGATTTTCGTTTCATCAAATATATTCTTGATATTGTTCCACGTGCATTTGTTGTTCTTAAGTAGACAGTAAAATGATTGATCAATACAGCTGCTCATCTTGGTGTTAATCGGGTACGTATGAATTAATTACTCTGTATGAGAAGCTTTCAAGTTTGCTTTGCTACTGTTTATCCTCAGAATTACTCATACATGGATTAGTTGACAGTTGTTTTTTTATTATCACAGGTGCTCGGTTTCATGATGGTATTTTGTATGTTCTTCTCACAGGCACATATTCAGATATCTTATTTCCCATTTTTAATTCATTTTAGCAGAGACATATATGTCTCTGATTTTAGAGATTGTCCCTCTAGTGGTAATTAAAGTTTTGTAAAGAAGGTTTTCTGGCTTTGAAGAAGATTTTCAACATAAGACCTGATATCACAATCACAGGCACTCAATGTTTCTGTAATAAAAGTTTACCCTATAGTATAACCATAGTATAAAAATAACACAAGGTAACTCCAAACTCCATGGCATACTCCTTCTTGAGAATTGCAGTCATGATCATTTTCGCTTTCTGGGGAAACACAGTGGAAAAGTGTCTCTTGCCATTTAAATCTGCAAAACCATATATATATATATATATATATATATATATATATATATATATATATATATATATATATATATATATATATATATATATATATATATATGGCCTGCTTGTCTTTATTATCTCTTATCTCTTTCCTGCTTAAATGTGTTAAAATATGTGGAAAAAATCATTTGACACAGTTTATGTAGAAAAGAGATAATAAAGGCAAGCATGCCATATATGGATTTGCAGATGAATTACTGTAGAAGAAAATGGTAGGAGACACTTGTCTTTGTGTTTTCTCTGAAAGTGAAAATGACCAAAATTTTTGGGAGGGAGTACACCATGTAATTTGGAGTTATTATTATACTATGGGGAAAGCTTTTACAATTATTACAGAAACAAGTGCCTGTGATGAAAACCAATGGAATCTTTACATGAGGCAGTTCAGGGAGATGATATTATACAAGTCATTTCTATTTATACACAGTTAAAATATTTTAATTTTTTTAAATTAGCAATTATTTAACAGACTTGATTCATTTTCACTCAACTGGCAGCAAATTAGGACTGATTGTGACTTTAAAGTGTGCAAGACATGCCAGGGGATTGGATTGGATATCTCAGATTTTTTTATTACCGGTATGTGAAATAAATTCATGTGTCATGACCTTCTGATTCCCTGCCTGTGAAAAGAAATAAATTGAGTCTGGTAAATAATTGCTAATAGAACAAATCAAACATTTTGACCTATGAATAGTAAAGACCTGTAGAACACCCTCCTCCTTATCTGCTTCATGTATAGATTCCACTGGTGGGATTCCAGTCTGGGGAAGTGGAACAAAAATATTGCTTGACCAGTTTGTAGATTTCATTTCCAATTTCCTCTGTTCTTGCACATTAGTCTATATACATATATATAATAGAACTTGCTTCATGAGCAACACTTCACCTGCTCACTGTTCTTAGTATCATTGTATGATTCTGATAACATTATAAGCATTTTGTTGCTCATTCATCTTAAAGGGGGAAAATCAAAATCATAATAAAAAATGCAATGTCAAATAATGCAAGATTTATGAAGATAATACAATTTTCTTTGTTCAAATTAATTCTAGTGGAAGCTGAAAAACACTGATTACAATAAAAAAAAACAATTCTGGTATATTTATTTTCCTTAATCTATGTAAAATAAAAGTTTCTCATTTTTATGATCAGATTATGAAATTAAAATGGACTTCATGACAGTGAAGGACATAGCTGCAGAGGCTGTTAATTCTATAAAACTCATAGAACAGTTGGTCAAGCGGGTTAAGACAGAAAAGGACAACAAAACAGATCCAGAATTCTGTGATCTCTTGTATTTACTAGAGGGCATCATCTCAACAGAACAAGATGTGGGCACTGATTGCATTCATAAAGTTTTAGATGAGGTGTGCCTCCCACTCCTGTTTAAGATCCACCCCTCATTTGACAGTAATGTAGAGAATGTGGCTCTGCTGACCTCAGTTAGCTCCCTTTGTGGAGCATGCCTGCTGAAGGCTGAGGAGACAAGAGTGGTAGATTTGATTGAGCAGTGCTTAGGGATTTTGACATCTTACAGTCAGGGTGCTGATTGGAAAAGTGAAGATGGAGAGTTCATGGACATCTACTGCTGTGTGTCAGTTTTACAGCATGTGTTTAAACCGAGGGGAAACAAATTCTCATCTTCTATACAGAAGAAACTCCTGCAGTCATATATCAATGTCGTTCAGTCTATAAAGTGTATGCAGGACAATTTACTCATAAACATGGCCTTAAATTGCCTGAAGAACATGATGAATATATGTGTCAATGAAAATTTTGATAAACTTTCAGCTGTTTGGGAATTAATTTGCAAAGAATTTGCTGAAGGGAATGAAAAGCCATACATTTTACTTTGTGGTATGGCTAGCCATTTCTTTCCTGTGGTCAATGACAATGTAGTTTTTGATCTAAAATGTAAGGATGACTTCTGGAGAATAGTTCAGCAAGGAGTAAGTCGAAAAGTGCCCTCCTCCCGGAAACAAACCATGTACCTTTTGAAGAGGGTGACAGATATGTGTCATTCATGTAATGTTGGTGTTCAAAGTGAAACCTTATTCCACTGGAAACCAAAAGACAACTTACTGGAGGTTTGGGAGGACTACATACTAATTCTAGAAACCTTGGAGGAAAAGCAGGTAAGTTTAGTTTGTTTTGAAAATGATAAGCAGGTTTACTGTACATTGTTATCATATTCCTGGAAGCAATTGGATTATATAGATTCCTAAATAAACATGAGAAATTCAAAAACACAAGAAGCTCCACTTACAAAATAAAATTGCTCACTTTTATACAAATTTATATTGCTGAACTATATTTATAAAGTCTTGATCAATAGTCCTCTTGCAAATTCTTGTTCTCTTGATTTGATATCTATGAGTCATTTTGTGATATTAAGTACTTGAGTAAAATAAGGAATTTAAATTTTATAGGCAAACTATTTCGCTTAGAAATTAATTTTGAAAAAAAGAGAACTTTTCAATATGCTGTATTTTCATGTACCTCAGCTTTTAATTTTAAATGTAGCAACATGACTCAAGTACTTTTAGTAATAATTTCATTAACTTTTCTTGGTATACGTGTATGTCAGATATTTGATGTAAATTGATTTTCTCTCTTGAAGGTTCACATCATTAAGCCGGTGCTTCCAAGATTATCTAAACTCATAAAAGCAACACAGATTGATCAAAATGGTATGTTTAGGAGCTTTCTTTTAGTAACATACAGTTAAACTTCAGTATCTCGAATACTGATATCTTGAATACCGGGTACCATGGATATGTCAAACTGATCTGGAAATCCCAACCACTTATTCTTTATGTATTTTTCCCTCAATATCTCGAATCCTCATATATCTTGAAGTTTTTTTCTCAGTCCCATTGAGTTCAAGATAATGAGGTTTGACTGTATTTTTCACCAGTAAATACTTGAACAAATGTTAAAGATGTATATTCATGTCTATTACAGGTCAAGGAGTATTACATTCATCCTGGCTAACAGCCATTTTCAGGAGACTTCTGATGCATGAAAATATCTTTATTTTGAGATATACTGTGGACATTATTCTAAAATTAGACTTCCAGTGTTGTCCAATGCTCAAGCAATGTCAAGAAAAGGTAATAGTTGTTATGACTGAAGTTGTTTGAAGAATTGGAAGTAAAGCAATAGAGCACTAAAAGTTCATTTTTTTCTGAGGCCCATTCAAGGACGATAGCATTTCTAATCTCTCATAAAATGATGAGATATTTATACAACATAAACTTACAAAACATTTTGTTTTTAGTACCTTTGTGAAGATTTCTTGCTGTCTTTACAAGAACCAAAATTGTTCATCAGAAAAGAGGGGGCACCTGCAGGATCCAGTCTCACTTGTAGTGAGGCACTCGCAGGGTTCTTCCAAAACTGCTGGCATGTCTTGGACAATCCATCCACACAAAGTAAGTCTAGATGTGTTCATGAAATTGGTGTTATTTCAGCTATAATACCTAAATTGCAATTATGAATATTGAAAACAAAGAACGAGGGCGCTTTTGATTGGCATTCGGCAGGAATCTGGGCGCACTTGAAAAGTGAAAATTTCATTGATCTGTCACATGAAGTTTTAGCATTCTTTTGATGTATCGGGTTCCTGTGAAATAGGAAAGGGAAATATTTTACCGATATTGTATTTTGATTTGCTAAAAAAGAACTTGAAAGTTGGCTAGATGAGTCATTTGGTACAAAATGTTACATTTTTAAACACATTTTTCTAAAAATTTGCTATATCTGGGTCATCTCTCCATGATTTTGAAACTTTATTTGTGTGCATTTTAATTCAAAGAAACTAACAAACATTTGTAAAAAATGGAGAGAAGACCCAGAGACGATAAAAAATGAACTTTTCCCAAAAAATTCCCAATGTGTAAATGCGGTGCTTCATTTTCGCTTTAAAAACATTGAAGTGTGTATAGCAGTGATAGTTCAGTAGTAAGCGTTACCCGTCCAGTGCAATGAAAAAGAAATATTTTTAGGTTCGATCCTCACATGGAGCGTTAATGTTTTTTTTTTTTTTTAGTAAAAACAATCAATACTTTTGTCAGTTTAATTTTTGAACTGATTTATTTTCAAATAGATAAATTCTGGTTCTGTTTCACCGAAAGCGAAAGCAATTCTTCCAACCTACTGATACTTTAATATCTACAAGTATGTACTTGTAATTGCATTTAACTATACCCTATATGTGTTTATTATTTATGTGAAGCGTTACTAAGTTTTAGATGTAGTAATTATTAAGATAAGCGGACTGATATATTAACATTTGGCAAAGTATTTCAAACTAAATGTAAAATTTTCCCATGTGCGTAACTTTGTAAAGTATGTCCAGCTGTGGTCAACAGACCAAATCGTAGACATTTAAACTATGAATGTTTCGTACGTATTATTCCTGCAGATCACACGCCAAACACGCCCATCTTCTTTTTAAGAAATTTTTCTACAAATATTTCTACACATCTTCATATTTTGATTCAATATCTGGAGTTAAGATGAACATTTGATTACATTTAATATGAATTTAATGTTAGTTTACAGTATAGAAAATATGTACCGGTAATCCAATTGAGCTTTTTGTAAATTTGATATAAATAAACAGGAGCAATAACTATATTTATGTATTGAATAAAAAGTATTCTTAAAAACTGCCATTGCATTGACATTGTTGAGGCAACTCATTTTAGGTTAGACATGTACAGGTATTATTTATTTCAGTGTTACCGGTACTTAATCTCCACTTTTACTCTTTTTCAGCATCTTTCTTTAGAAGAATCTTGACAACAATTGTAGAAAACACATGGAGTCCTGTGCCCCTATTATTGATTTTTGAGGCTCTGTCAAAAACTCCAGCTATTCCTATCTTAGATTCAGCTGGACTTCAAGATCTCAAGTAATTATATTTCTCTGTTCAATTCAGAAACCTTTTTTTGTCCAGAGTCTTTGTACAAAGAAAAATTAATGTGTTTTATATTTTATTTTTATTCCCTGTTTCAAGTCTTAGTCTCAGGAAATACCATTTCTCGTTTCAGGGTGACACTGTACACCTCATTCTTAATGTTTATGATCATTGAATTAAATGAAAGGGTTCACATTGATATATGATGTCGAAGGTCAAGGTCACTACAATTAGCAAAATTTATGCAATAGAACAGTTTTTAACATTAGCATACATAGCGTTGATTTTCAGAGAGAAATGAAGATGGACATTTGTGGATCACTAAAACAAAGTTTGTCAGAAAGTCATGTTGTCAGAAAGTGATTTTCATGATTTGTTTCAAAAAAACTGAAATTTTTAGGGTAATTAATATTTTTATGGAAATAATCCTCATTGCTCATTCTATTCAAAGGAAAGATAATTACTTAATTTAGTTTAAAGGCTATTCATCAAATTTCAAGGTCTATCAAAACTGATTTTTTGCTCACCTGAGCCGAAGGCTTACCGGGTAAATGAAGTTTTCTGATCAAAATTTGTCTGTTGTCTGTTATTGTCATTGTTGTTGTAAACTTTTCACATTTTCATCTTCTTCTCCAGAACCTATGGGCCAGTTTCAACCAAACTGCACATAGTATTATTGGGTGAGGGGAGTCAAATTTATTCAAATGAAGGGCCATACTCTTTTCCAAGGGGAGATAATTTAGAAATAGTGAAAATTCTTCTTCAGAAGAAGCACAGGGCCAGAAAAGATGAAACTTATGTGAAAGCTTCCTGACATAGAGTAGATTCAAATTTGTTAAATCTATGACCCCCTGGGATAGGGTGGGTCCACAATGGGTGATCAAAGTTTTTCTTGGAATACATGTATATGCTAAAAATCTAAATGTGTTCTTCTCAAGAACATCAAAGCCATGATTTGTCATTCATATGGAAGCTTTCTCAGGTAATTTAGATTCAAGTTTGTTCAAATCATGACCCCTATGGGTAGGGTGGGGCCACAAAGAAGGATCACAGTTTTACATAGGAATATACATTGTATAAGAAAAATCTTTAAAATCTTCTGAAAGACAGCAAATCCATAATTTGTCATAATCATATGGAGGCTTTCTTAGGTAGTGTAGATTTAAGTTTGTTCAAATCATGACCCCAGGGGGTAGGGTGAGGCCACAATGGGTGATGAAAGTGATACATAGGAATACATGTATATCAGAAAAATCTCCAAAATCTTCTTCTCAAGAACAGCAAAGTCATGATTTGTCTATTTTTTATGGAAGTATTCTCAGGTATTGTAGATTCAATTTTGTTGAAATCATGACCCCCAGGGGTAAGATGGAGCCACGATGGGCAATAAATTTTTACATAGGAATATATGGGAAAAATCTTAAAAAATCTTCTCAAAAACAGTAAACCCATGTTTAGTCATATGTATACATGTATGGATGCATCCTCAGGTAATGTAGATTAAAGTTTGTTCAAATCTTGACCCCCCTGATATAAGGTTGGGTCATAATATGTGGTCAAAGTTTTAGATAAGAATATATAGGGAAAAAAAATCTGCTATTGAAGAACAGAAGGGCCAAAGTTACTCAGATGAGCATTGTGGCCCATGGACCCTTTGTTACATAAATTTTTTGTAGTAACTAGTTTATTCTTAATTTTATAAATTTCCTCAACTTCATTTTCTCCTTGCATTAAGTCTTTGAATATTTTTATATTGCATAGAAGCTACATGTGCTGCATTTATTTTTCACTGTCATTAGTACAGTACCTTGATTCTATATTTAACTTGCCATGCCTTTTGATATTAAAGAAAAAAATGTTTCAATAATTTTTTAATAGAAATGGTGTAAGCAGTGAAACAAGAACCTGGGACAGTTTTACCAGAGGGGCCATGCTGTGCTTCTGTGGGCAGATTCTCCTGAATCTTATAAACATTGTAAGTCACTCATTGTCAAAAGTTCATGCACAGACCTGAATTTAAAAGTTAAAGTATGTACTTTGGAAAAAAACAAAAATGGTGTTTCATGTTTTTATTCCTTCATTTTCAGGAAAAAGTACTGCCTCTTGAATTTTTTTTCACCCTCACCATGTTTACCAGAAGTGAAAGTCTATGTAGAGGAACATGTTTTTGGAAGGAGGTTTCTGATTGGCTGAAGACCGTTACAAATCTGGGACTCAGGAATTGGACTGCAGATGACATCAAATCATGCATCAAGAATCAAACTGTAAAATTCCTGACCATCAGAGATGGTTTGTTTCTCAAGATATTCAATTGAGTATCTGAATACCTTTTTCTTACACTTCTAACGGAAATGAAGGAATCAATAGTTTATTAATTTGTTCCATATTCTCGTTATTCAGTTACATGTAAATGAACATTTCAAAAAGAAATTTACATAAACATTATTTAATATTATCTCATTTTATTACAGACAATGTTAGTGTGACAGATGAAGCAGATGTTTTGATGACGATTCGCCTGATACTTTTATCTGTGGATGCAGATATTCTCCCACTGAAAACCTCTGAGCAGGAGATATATTCCCTGACACATACATTACAATCACTGATTAAGATCATCAATGATTTTCCTACTCATCCCTACATGTCATCAATCAAGGTGGAAAAAGCACTAAAACTAATGGTGGGCCTTATGGCAGAAGTTGGAGATTCCGAAGGTAAAGAACTCAAATAATAAAAGATAGGTACACTAAAACATGGTTACAGCAAGCATGCTTATAAAGAATACATGCTTACAGAAAAAAGTGATTTTCTTTCTTTAACGACGACAGACCTAATTCATTTCTTCAATAGATTTTTTATTCAAATTTTAATATGAGGTAAAGTGACTTTTGGTGAGTTAAAATCAATAAAAAATCATATGGTCATCGATGTAGATTTTTAATGGGGAGCGTTTCAAAAGTTGGCAATGGAAATCGATAATTACTATAGGAAGTAATGGGAAATTGCCAGTGGAGGGTATAAGAATGATCATTGAAAAAATTCTGCAATAGAATTTTTATTCATATTAAAGGACAACGTTAACAAGACAATTTACCAGCAAATTATGTAAAAAAAAAAAAAATAAATGGGTCATCGGCTTAGATTTTTCAGGGAGGCATGTCAAACTAAGGTGTAGGGCACATTTTAGTGGAAATTTTCAATGAAAATACCTTGGCCAAATAAATCATTTATTTATTAAATCAACAAATGAATATAAATAAAAATATTTACAATATTTTTGAATTGAGAGGAAACATTTGAATATCTTTAAAAGAATTAAGAATGTATATTTTTCTATTTTTTTCAATACAGGATTCAAGGCATATGCGCAGTTTTCTGCGCAGTGGCGCAAAATTTCGAATTAGGTCCGTTGGCCTTAAAATTATAATTTTAAGATGTATTACGAAGTTATCTGATGTAACAAATTATGTTTATAATGAATCAAAGTTTTCCTTCCATGGTACTTGGCTATAAACATGTTTTACTGTAAACCATTATTTTAGGATTTGCCTGATTACCCTTTACCTCAGTAAATCTGTTGTGACAGAAATGGGGATCAGTATCCTTAGATTACTGGTGTGTCAACTAGTGATTTTGATTTATAGGTTGATACGAACCACTAAAGTACCTGCTTTTAAAAATTTGTGGGTTTTTTTTCTCCATTACATGTAAGTGCTGTATAATTTTCAGAAGATGAAGTCAGCCAATTTATTAAGACCTTCATGGATACAGCAGCCGTATCAGGAACCTTATTTATACAGCAGCAGCTCACAGAGGGATGGAAACAAGTAAGTATTGATATCTGCCAAAAATGATATAAAGATGTCTAATTGTGGAATAAATGTTTTTTGAAATATTTTTTTTTAGATGAGTGATCTCCCTTCAATGAACCTTTGTTGTGATGCACTGTCATTGGTTATGAGCAAGTCATGTTATGCTGATGTTGGAAAAGCAATGAAACAATTGTCAATGAGATGCTTTCATTTTCTGCGTACTTTAAAACAGGTAAGGAGAAACTGAAAAACTTTTGTCTCATAAGATTCATACATGTGATAAGTACTGGCTGTACACAAAATGTCTAATATTTTTTACCCCATTTAAGGATATGGTGAGACACAAAAATTCAAGGGAAATGAAAATTTTTCCCTTATTCTCAATTGTTTACAGGAAGAATTTTGTCAGTAGAAAAAAAGAAAATAACATGAACCAACTTTCTGTAGTAATGGCACATTAAAATTCAAAAATCTATTCATAATTAATTTTCCTCAGCTTGACCTAAAGATTGCCCAGTCTAACACAGAGTCAGACAGATGATTTAGTTTCATGAGAAAAATGCTGACTGACTGGAGTCAGAGACTCTTACATTACAATGGTCAGTCAATTCAAAATTCCACATTCAAATTCAACATTGCTAAAGCTCATTCTAAAAAGAAGTTGGTTACAATAAGTAATATTCTACTTGATATACTACAAGTATAGACTCTTTTGGTGGTGAATATGGTTTGATATTCAAAAGAAAAATATCATTGTTGACCGAAGTCAAACCAACATTTATTTATCAATATTTTGTATTTTTTATGCCCCTCCCCCCCCTCGAAGAAGGGAGAGCATATTGCTTTGCTGCTGTCTGTCGGCCAGTTTGTCTTTCTATCGGTCCACCAACAGTTTCCTTCATTTTCTTCGCAGAGATTGCACGTACTGAAATGAAATTTGGTATACAGATTTATCATAAGAATATATTGGTCAAATTCTGTTTTGGGTACAATCGATCAATTTTTGACAAAGTAATGCCCCTTGGACTTTGAAAAATTCCCATTATTTGCAGTTTCTGTTCATTTTCTTCGCAGAGGTTGCACATACTGAAATGAAATTTGGTATACAGATTTATTGTAAAAATATCTAGGTCAAGTTCTGTTTTGGGTACGATCAAGCAATTTTTGGCAGAATTATGCCCTTTATACTTTGAAAAATTCCAATGGGGGGGGGGGGGAGCATAAGTGTTTCACAAACATCTCTTGTTGATTGTTTTTCCTCGATATACATGTATAAGTATTTATGCTGTGCACTTACATATACCTGTTTGGTAACTTCTTTCATATGTATGAATCATGAATCAGTTGAAAGTTATGGATAATTTTTATGCTCCCTTGAAAAAAGGGGGCATATTGTTTTGAACCTAATGTTTCTTCCATCAGTTGATAGACCAGGGGTGTAGCTTGACTTAAAATTCTAGTGAGGCAAAACTATTGTGGCCGGGTGTCTGGGGGCCGGTCCAGGGCGGAGCCCTTGTGGTGGGGGGGGGGCAAAGACCCCAGACGGAAAATGAATTTGGGAGTTAAGAATGTAAAAATCATACTTGTCCTTGACAGAAATTTCGTAATTTTACCGGTTTCATTATTAAAGACTTCAGCATGCATATGATACTTCATATTTCAAAAGTATTTAGTAGATAGAATAAAGATGTTTATTCAAACTTCTAACATTTTTATTTTTTCCACATACACTGTAAACTACTTTAAAAGAGCCCAATCTCATGAATTTTGATCCCGAACATATTGATATGAAAGTACAACATTTTATAGATTTGTAATTAATTAGTTTTTAAAACAAATCAAATATTTTCTGCAATGTATTATTAATGTATGGGAAGGCTGTGGTGCTGAAAAAATCTAGTGAGGCAGTTGCCTCATTGCCACAATGAATGCTACGTCGCTGTAGAAAAAGTGTTGTCAGCTCAATATCTTGAGAACCATTTGTTTAACAGACATCAAACTTTGTACACTGATTTCCCCTAAGGAGTAGATGACCTCTATTTGTTTTAGTTCACAAGGTCAAAAGGTCAAGGGTCAAACTGGACATACACATACAAAGATATTAACCTCTCAATATCTTGAGAAACATTTACTTGACAGACATCAAACTGGGTACCCTTTAAAAATTACCTCCGATATTGAGGTCTGATAAAGATCTAAATTTCAAATTATGTCTGCCCCTGACCAGAAGGTTACCCATTTTTTTTTACTATCATTACAGACATTCTAAGTTTAAGGCTGACTTTTTTTTTTAATATTGCCACATGGAAGGGGGGAGCATTATGTTTTTAAAACATTTCTTGTTTTTCTATAATTCAGTATCTCTAATTCATAGAATTAGTATTGGTACTGTTAGACTAGAAAAAAAACCCTTTAGGAGTAAAGTGTTTGCTGTCTTCCCTTCAAAGAATATTTTGACGTGTAAAATGTAGTGCAGTTAAAATAGGCATAAAAGATTTTTTTTTAACTACATGTATATTCTTGCTTTCAACAACAGGACAGTGTAGAACAGCAGATTATCCGACTGGGGGCGAGTATGATTTTGGGAACCATTGCCCAGCATGTCACAGATCAGAAGCTACTGAGACATTTACTCACACAGATCCAATCTGCATCTTCATTTATTCCCTCCACATTTGTAAAGCCCCACTCTGATACTTGTATTAGGTAAAACTTTATTTTACTATGCAAAACAGAATTCATAGGTTGATTTTGCTAATTGAAAATTCCTAGAATATAGCTAATGCTTGTGATAAATGAAATTATTTTATGCATTAATTTTTTAGAATTCTTTTTTTTCCACTCTTAGTATTTATAGCCCCAGTGGCTCATGCACAGGTACTTGATGTAATATTTATTATTCTTGATCATCTATAGCCAAAAGGAATGGGGAAGAATGGCGTCAGATTTCATGACTAGCCAATGGAAAACTGTCCTTTTCCTCTTAAAGAATTCAAAGTCATGTGACTCCTTTGTCACCATGGATAAATGTTTGGAATATTTGTCAGTCAGTTCAGGGGATGCCACAATTATCATCTTCAGGTGTATCAAGCTTTTATTACCAATGGTATGTCCTCACTCCTTCATTTTCAGATGCTCTATAAACTGAAATTTTGCAGTAATTTTAGTAATTTCCTAACAGAGAATTGCAAAAATGAAATTCTTGCAAAGTAAGAATGCCAAATGGGGAAAAATTTCCTACCAGTTATGGCTGAAGATGGAAATTTCTTATGGGAAATACAATTATTAATCAATTTTGGGGTTACCTTCTCATGGCATTAGGGCAGTTCTTTGTAATATTTATTGTCACTATCATTGCGTACATGTAAGAATAATAAAGCAGTGATTTTTCTGATGTGATCTCTTACTGTATTTCAGAAGGTAGATGATGGAAAACTAGACACAGTTGTGGAGGTGCTTAAAGTGTCATGGGCTTATCTAAAGGAACATCAAGGAAAGGGGACCAGTTACTGGCACTATTTAGAGGCTTATACAGAAATGGCCTTCCAGAAACCTCTGACCACACAATCTAGGGACTCTCCTGTTACACATAAGCTTTTACAAGTACACAAACTTTGGTTCTATTAAAGGGATAAAGACACAGATTTTAAGTTTACATCCTTGAATTGATCCAAGTTCATAATTACAGTTGGCAAGAGTGTTTTAGTGGATATAAAAGCATATTTCAATATCATACCTTTTTGTAATCTGAAATTTTAAAAAAAAAACAATTTTAAAATTTTCTTGTAAGTTCAACTCATTAAACTAAAGTTATGTTTCAAATAAAAAGAAATATTGAACATTCTAAACAAACTGGCAGTGCAAGTATGTCTATGTCCCTTTAACATATAAGATAATCACATAATTTTGATTGTGAATTCTGAAATTTAGTTTGTAAAATATAAGAAACCTGTTTGAATTTAGGCTATTATCACAAATTTTTTAAATACTTTGATATTCAATGTACACATATTCGTGGATGTGTTACTTTAGGGATATTTGGATTTTTTTTAAGCTGAAACAGACAAGCTTGTATTTTTACCTAAGATGTTGATTTTTATTAGATTGCTAATGACCTTTTGGAGATTGGTGAAGAGAAAAGTGGGGTAGTAAATGTGTTGTTGAATCGTCTGATCATAGATTGCCCCATTCCAATGGAGAATTTCCTACCAGTCATTGTCCAGTGCTGTATGTTTGGCCCTGTCTACAAAAAACAGGATAAGTAAGTCATTGAAACTAGGGACACAATAGAATTTCAGTTGAATATATGGAAAAGTTAATGTATCAAAATTTCAATTTTGTATAATTTTTAGCTCACCTGAGCCAAAGGCTCAAGTGAGCTGATCTGATAGAAGTGTTCAGCATCTGTAATCTGTAGACATTCACATTCTTGACTTCTTCTCAAGAACCACTGGACCATTTTCAACCAAACTTGATAAAAAGCATCCTTGGGTATTCAAGTTTGCTCTAATGAAGGGTCACACCCTTTTTCAAGGAGAGATAATTAAGAATTAATGAAAATTTATAGGCATCTTTTTAAATCTTCTTCTCAAGAACCACTTGCCCAGAATAGATGAAACTGACGTGAAAGCTTCATTACTCAGTGAAAATTTCAAGTTTGATTGAATCATGACCCTGGGGGTAAGATGGGCCACAATAGAAGATCATTACTTTACCTAGGAATAAAAAATGTTCTCAAGAACAGTGAGGCTCTTAAGTCATATTTATATGGAAGCATCCTTAGGTAATGTAGTTTAATTGAGTTTGTTCAAATTATGGCTCCTGGGGTCCATAGTTGCCAACTCACCCGATTTTGTCGGGTTACACCCGATTTTTCGACCCTTAACCCGATTATTTTTTATGACACGGCGGGTCATGCTTTTCACTCGATTTTTGCCGAACAACCCGAAAATCTCCCGATTTCCGGATTTGGATTTGGTTCCTAAATTAGGTTGCACTTTAAACTTCCAGTTATAACCCAAGCTTGGAGCGCCGATGGCTATGTTCAGTAGGCCGTGTGTACCAGTAAATTATCAGTGCAGGTTTAAACAATTACCAGAGAATTGTTTTGACAAATCAAAGTTTGAAGTCAGTTTAAAATGGCTTCCGATAGAACGAGCTGGTTATCAGGACCAGCAGGAACAAATTGAACCAAGAAAAAGAGAAACGATATTTATGTACATATCAAGGAATCTTGGAAAACAACTTTCATTAGATAAAATAAAGTGTTCCGAGATAGTGTAGGCATAACTGTACATTGAATAGCACTTGTTCATTAAATTAATTCATGAGAGGAAAAATCACTTCAAAACCAAATTTGAATACAAATTTAGCACAAATTTCCATGTGCTTCAAATCAGCAATGCAGATTTTGAAAAAACTTTCCTTTAACTGTAAAAAAAAATGCACACTTAATTCAGGTCAATACTGAATAATGAAACCTTCAATGCTCTTTTTTAACATGTAAATTTAATCAATATGTATTAAATTTTTCTCATTGCAAGTTAAAGTCTCTTTTTAATAAAATAATTCTCAATACACAAATGCTTAGATAAATATATTTTATATATATATATATATATATATATATATATATATATATATATATATATATATATATATATATATATAAATATATATCAAGTTTAATCATGGTAAATGTGTCGTGAATGTCGTTACGCGTTATGACCAGATTTTTTACTTTCCAAATCTGGTCATGACCAGATTTTTACATGTTGGAGGTTGGCAAGTATGCTGGGGTCACAATGCACAATCAAATTTTTACGTAGGAATATATAGGGAAAAATCTTTTAAAAATCTTGCCAAGAACAAGAAAGCCATGATATGTCATATTGATATGGAAACATTTTCAGGTTGTGAAGTTCAACTGTTTTTGTTCAAATCATATACACAGTAGTATATAGGGAAAAAATCTGCTGATGAAGAACAGCTTGGCCTTAGTGACTCAGATTAACATTGTGGCCCATGGGCCTTTTGTTAAATTTGTCAAGTAAATCATTATACCATTGGGATCTGGCAAAATATGTTTTTTTTAACATAAAAAAATTGTCCCCTGTTACATGTATGCTCAGATTTGCATTGTGGCCCATGGGCCCCTTGTTACATTTGTCAAGTAAATCATTATACCATTGGGATCTGAGGTTTGAGACATAGAATCTAGAACATTTGTACAAAAATGTGAACTACAGCTTAAAACAACTCATTAGAACTAAAAAAACACAAAGTATTAAAAACAGTTTTTACATTACACAGCAGATAGTGTAAATCCATTTGTCCCTTGGGAGTAATGAGTGGACATGCATCCAGTTAAAGATTAATTAATGAGTTCAGTGTGGGAAGCTGTTAGGGCATCTCTGATCAAGCAGGTCTTATCTATATCTCCTGGGAATTGGGAAGAAAGAAATAAAGATATCTGTTGTCTAAGTCTCTTAATTGTAATTTATGTCTGTCAGAATACATAGTTACTGGAACCAGCCTTTTATTTTTAAAATGAGTTTGATATAAAGGTATTAAGATCAATTTGATTTTGTATAATTAATTATGATAATTTTTTTTCAACAATCAATTTGCAGAGTGTCATGTCTCACAAAGATGACAGATAGTTGCAACTATTTTTTCAATGTAATAAAAAACACTGTAATTATTAGTATTGATGTTTTATTAGGCTGCACCTTAGTTTCATTCATTAAAAAAAAATATAATGAGTAATTAAATTTTCACTCTAAATGTTTAAGCAAATTGTGAACACCTCTCACATCTAGAAAACATTCGTGATTTGGTACCTTCTCGGAAAAACCCAGCGGGGGGGGGGGTATTTGTCCCTTTTGGACAGTTCTAGTTATATTTTCAACAGTGAAATACTTTAATTTATTTACTGAATAAAAGTAATATTCTGACACAGTGTGAAAGGATATCAAAATGGTATTCTCACAGTGTGAGAATATGAGAAATGCTGCAAAACTTATGATTTAATTTCCTTCGATCCCTTCACAAACTTAAGAGTGTTTTTAAAAAAATTCCTGGCCAGTTGTAAGATAGAGTTAATGAGCCATCCTGACAGAAACTAATAGTTACTGCCAAATTTTTTCCAAATATGTCCTTAAAAATCCATGTTTACAACGTTTTTTTCAATCTCACAATCACTTAGCCGCTCCACTATGATGTCACAGCCTATGACACTTTCTTACGAAAAGACAGAGGCAAAGGGAATATCTAAGAAAATGTAATAACAGAAAATTCAATGTTTTTTAGATGAATATGGAATTTATTTCATGAGTGGGACAGGATTTTTTTATATTTTCACAAGTGCGAAGCATGAGTGAAAATATTAAAAAAGTTGTCCCACTCGTGAAATAAATTCCATATTCATCTACAAAACATTGAATATCCTCTATTTAGATGATTTAACTTTTACAATGCAATATACAGTGTTTCATGATCCCAGATCTGTTGTTGCTCTAAATAATAATTATGTTTTTTTTTTCTTGAATTGTAGACAGTTGATTGACGTGTTTAGCTACATATCATCTTTAGGATCCAAATTATCAATCAATCAGCTCCAACCTTGGTAAGACTGCAGAAAATTGGAGGAGACTCAGCTTCTTATAATTAAGTCATTAGGCTTTATGCTTATTGTGTACTTATTTCAGAAGCATATTTAATAATTGACATCCTTTTGTATATATATTGATCTATCAGGAAACAGATATAAGAATGAAACAAGTTTTAAATCACTGTAAATCAAACAGTTATCAAGCAAAGGCTTGATAAACTTCAGACTTGATACACTGTTTTCCCTCAGAGAGTAGATTTGAGGTTTGAAGGTCAACGGTCAAGGGTCTACAGAAAGATACTGACCTCTCAAAACTCTGAATTAATTTACCCTAACTATTAGAAAACTCTTTTTTCACTATCATTACACACTCTAAATTGAAGGTCAACCCTTTTAATTTTGCCACAATATTGGGGTGAAAAGAGGCGGAGTATCTGTTGCTAAAACATTTCTTGTTATATTTATGTCTTCATTGCCAGTATCCTCTGATTTCTTTTTAGGTTTCCCAAGAATCTGATGGTAAAAGTCAGACTTGTGGAATTCCTGTGTCATTTAGATCCCCAGAATTCCCTTCATTATAGCTTTGGAAACTTCCTCCTGTCAGGTATATGTAAGAAGTACCAAGAAATGGTGACAATATCCAGTGGGAACACTTACAGCAACTCTTTGCCACATCGTCAGAAAAACAGATTGATGCAGTGTGTATTGCTCTTGGAGCCATTTATTTCACAGGTTAGGCATCAAATTCAGATAATTAGGGTAGGATGAATAAATTGAAGATTGATGAATATGCTAGCAATTTAATACATGTACAACATATCAATATGTTTAGTGAAAAATCAATCCAGAGGGTGTATGTAGTTTATATACACTGTATATACTTTTAATTAAAGACACAATATATGCAAATTTGAGTAGAGGGTATGTCGTTCCATCTTCATACCAGGTATTTTGTCTTTACTTATCAGTGATGAGTAAAAGATGAGGATGATGGATGTTCCAAAGTTTACTTGTTTGAGAGAATAAACCGGTACCAGTATATATAGAGTAAAATTGATGGATATTTTCATTTCAGACAGAAAGTGACAAAATATTTTCCCTGCTGCTGGACTTTTTTGGTGAAGAGATGCAGCCTTCTGTAAGACATTATCAGGAGTGGGCGTGCATGCGTCTTATTGGTCGATTTCCAAACCTTGTTTCAAATCTATGGTCAGCATTTAGTGTGGTATGTTACTTGTTTCATTTTGCCAAGTGTACGTAATACCCAAAAAACAGTCATTTACAAAATTACTATTAGTAAAACACCACACAACCATGCAAATTATAGGGAAGAAAGCACTGCAGATATTCTTATTTTCTTTTCTTTTTTTTATTTTTTGCATGTTATTATTCTTGTGTACATGGCTGTCATATTCTTTTGCAGAGAAAATTAATAATACAATTATTGTTATATGTATTAATTTATAATTACCATGGTCATGTTCATTATAAGCATATTTTCTTACCATTAACAAATGGCAATATTTCAGATTCAAAAGAAGAGTACACCAGGTCTCTCCTCACTAATGTTAATCACTTCTCACATTGGACCTCTGCAAACCACAGAGTCTCAGGTTGATTTCTTTTCATTTACGGAACTATCATTTTATATTCAAACTCTTTAGCAGTTTAAATAAATTTGTCAGTGAAATAATTACCGGTACATGAATGGATGAAAGCTGGTTTTAGTTGTTTACCAGATTACACACATACTGTAAAGTAAAATAAAGGTAAGTCTTTCCTGTCAGGTGTTTACGGTGATTTTCTGACTATAAAAATCTGCATTCCTTAATCCTAACTAAATCCTAATTACCTTATTTACAGGAGAAGTTTTATGACACTGCAATATCACAGATTTTGTCTCTCTGTTTGGCCCACCACTTCCAAACCCGGATCCACGCCCTGGCCGTCTTGTCTCTGTTATGGGACCAGTGTAAGAGACTCAATCTCCAAGGAGTCATTAATCGACACAGCATTATTCAAGTCTGCTTTCTCCAACTTGCTGAAGACAAGTATGAAATTCTATGACACGTTTAGCTTATGAACCAGTGAAAACACTTAAATGTGTATTAAATTTCTATAAACTTTTTCATATATTTTAAATATTTTTTAATACTATCAAAATTCAGTTTCTTTGTTTCCTGTTAAGTTAAATATTTAAAAAATAAAGTTTGTGTTTTTGTGAATGTTGCAGGATAACCTCTGAGATCAAAAATGTTGTTTGAAATATAAAAGCGGAGGTGTTAGCTGAGGCTTTTATATTTCAAACAACGTTTTGAGGAGGTATCCTGCATCATTCACATCAACACGAACTATACTTCTATTCTACTAACAGCTCTTAAATATGGCTGATTGTTTGTTCTTTAGAGAAACAAATTGAATCACCATGTCACAATTAGGCTGTTCCATTTAACACCAGAGGGTCAATTTGTTTGTTTACTTGTAAATTGATTGCCATGGAATACAGATGATTTGAACTTTTGTTGGATTAAAAATATCATTTAATTATTTATGAATTTGTTTGTAACATGTATTGATTAATATTTATAAATGCAAAATATCAAATTCAGTTGTCTATTTTGTTGCTTTATCAGTAAAATCAAAGATGTAAATGTTGTAGGGAGATTCTTCGAACAGCCCCATTTATAGCTTTAAACACCAATATTTATCTGCTGTTTTAGGCAATACAAACTGTTTAGATTGTGGAAGACAACACATCGATATGGTCTAAATAAGTATTAGAATCTAAAGTCAAATATTCATTTCAACTGTACAGGTTTGATATGTGTTAATGTAGGAAAATCAGAATGAGATATTCAATTTCTGCCAGCAAAGTTGAAACTGGCATTGACCTTTAAACTCAATAAATCATGTTTTGGGTGACCTACTCTGCTTCTCATCCTTACCTCTTATGCAAATCAGTCAGGATGAAATTGTTTTTAACACTGCCATTGAGTTGACCTTTCACCTTGTACCTGATAAAGGAATTAATACAAAAACATTTCCATGTAGTAAAGATTCCAGTTTCTCTAAGCCATGGCCCCTGGGATAGGATAGAGTGACAAAAGGATCAGAGTTTGTCATAGGAATATGAACCTTAAAATCTTCTTCAGAAGAATAAAAAGGCTACATTTAGCCATATAAGCAGATTTCCATGCCCATGTAGTGTAGATTTGAGTTTGGTGAAGTCACCGCACCTGAGGCAAGGGTTGTCCACAATAGGGGATCAACTTTTTGCATGGGAATTTTAAAGGAAAACTCTTTAAGAGTCTCCTTCTCAAAAACAGCAGGGTAAAGGTTACTTAGGTAGCCCATGGGTCTCTTGTTTGTTTATAAGGACTGATTGCAACAATCATGATTTTATTTTATCTAAGTCTTTCAATATAGTGCTATTACATGTACATGTATCTTGAGCAGTTTCTAAAACTTTGTTAATTTGTATACAGTAATACAGCAAAGAATGTGAAGAAGTTGCTGGAGAACTATTTTTTGGCCAACCTTGACATCCACAGAGACTACAGCGTGGAGGTTAGACTCTTCTTGAAAATATTTGTTTAATGTAACATGAATGTAGGAACAGCAATTTCATCTGTTACTAGCATGTACATGTAAGATAGATTTTGGCACTGAACAATAGTGGAATTTCCTACCTTACATCATGTGAGCTATTATTATGCTTCGATCCTGTCAGTTTGTCTCTATATAATCAATACCCAACTATTATCGCATAGCTTTCAAAGGATTTATATAGCGTAAGCATACTATGCCAAAACAGTGCACGGCTTCATTTTCTAAGGAAAATCCGACATCACCCACACCGGGGATCGAACTCATGACCCCGAGATTGTCAGTCCGACGTGCTACCGATTTAGCCACAGACACCGTTATCTACACCACTGTATTATAATGTATATAAACTTAGTTTCAAATGTTGACACTTAAAAAAAAAATAAACGAAATATTTTTTTTCTAAAATAGTTTTTGCAACTTTTTCCCTCAACTCAACTAAAATTCTTTAAAAATATTTGTACATTATACCTAATTGCATGAAACATTCAAAATAAAAAAAAAAGATTATGATGTACACGAAGCACAGCATGATGTCATAATAGGGTGTACAAACATGTTTGTAAGAGGTGATGAATCATTGCAAATGGAGAAAATATTGTCGTTTTTATACAACAATCAGCATAATATTAACAATAGTGTTGTGCTTTGCATGCACTATGCCTAAATAGTAGTCAGGGTTTGACTCGTCTCCGGCTCGTGCACCATGTGTCAAACCCTGACTACCATTAAGGCATAGTGCATGCAAAGCACAACACTATTATATAAATAAAACTTCACACAAGTTATCTTGCACTTTTTTAGATGGCAATAGTGATCCCCAAGGTTGGAATCTTATGTAGGTTGATATCTATCCTACGTATTAATGATTCTTATAATGTTAAAATTTTATTAAATACTGTATACAAAAATTAGTGCATATGTACATGTACATCTTTTTACTATTATACTCAATCACAAATAAGTTTGTTAAGTATTTTTATCAATTGTACTTAAATAAAGTCATATTTTGGGAGTGTTCCAGATTTATTACTTGAACTACACCATAAAATATGCCCAAAATATGAAACCCACTACAATATTATTTGAACATATAGTATCAAACTGAGAAAAAATATTGAACTTAAGATCTATATTTCTGTCATTGAAATGAACACTTTTATATGCTGACATTAAACAAAAGATTCAAGTGAGGTTTTCTGATTCCTTGTTGTCTGTGATTTGTCTGTTAAATTTTCTCATTTTTGACTTCTCCTCCAGAATCAGTGATCAAATTTCATCCCAATTTGCCACAAAGCAATCTTGGGTAGAGAGAAATTAAGTTTGTATAAATAAAGCACATCCTCTTTCAAGGGAGGTAATTAGGAAATAGGGGGGAGGGTAAATTTAAGACTGTTTTCAAAAACTACTGGATAAGGAAATATAAAATGTGTTCACATCATGGCTTTCCAGTGTAGGGTGGGGCCATAGTGAAGGATAAATATTTTACTACAAATATTTGAAAATACAGAAAAATCTTTTTAAAAAACATCATCTCAAGAACAGCAGGGCCATGAATAGTCATATTTATATGAATTTAAAGCATCCTCAGATAGTGAAGATTAAAGCTTGGACATATTTAGGCTCCTGGATTTAGGGGATTAAAGTTTTAATAGGAATGTATAGAAAGAAATCTTCTCTTATAGAATATTCAGGCCATAGCTACATGTATTAAAATTCATGCATTCTTAGATTCAACTTTATTGAAATCATGGTCCCCTGGGGTAGGGTGGGGCCACAATAGGGGATCAGAGTTTTACATGTGAATAAATTCCAACATTCTTAGGTAGCACAGATTAAAGTTTACTAAAATCATGGCTCTCAGGGTTTGGAGGGGCCACAGGAAGGGATAAAAGTTTAACATGGGAATAAACATTTAAAAAATCTTTAAATCTTCTCAAGATGAGCAGGGCCATGATCAGTCTAATTAATATGCAACCATCCTCAAGTAATTCACTGCAGTTCAAGTTCAAAAAATGTTCTTTTCCAAAACCAGCAAGACCATATTATTCATACTGATATTCAGAATCCCCATGTCGTATGGATTCAAGTTTTGTTATGCCATGCATCCTTGGGGCTAGGATGGGGCCACAATATAAGATCAACATTTTCTAGATAACTATGGAGGGAAATTATCTGATAAAAACATTATAAAAACAATCTCCTGAAGGACACAAGGGCCAAGTTGACTTGGGTGAGTGTTGTGGACCCTGAGCCTCTTGTTTAAACTCAAATAGCTTGAAAGATGAATTTGGTGGAAAATCTCCCATTCACGTTGATAATACTGTTATATTTTTAGACTCTTTTCCACACAATGCCTCGTCTGAGCTTGCTGTTTGACGATGAATGGATTTCTCCCCAGTACTTTAATATGTATCCCAAAACCTCCTACATACCATTAACAAATCCAGACTCCACACTTGCAAAGTGCAAGGAGGGGGCTCAATCCTCAAAAGGTTAGAACTGGTCAAATATTTCTCTGTTTCTGAACACATTGTAATCTTACAAGCACACATTCATATTTTAGTCAAGCAATATAGGATGAAAATGTATTCTGGTTGAATATTTTTGTAAGAATACCTTTGTCATGACTGCTAAATGTTATTGCATTTGCCCAATTCAAGATTTATCTCTGAGCAAAAAAAAAAAGGATTCAATAATGTTCTTTTTTTTTTCCTTGTGTATATTATATGAATATTTGCATGTAATCATGGGTAACAATTGAAGTTCTCATCCAGAGAAAACTCTTGGCACCCAAGGCATCAGTCAATGAGTTGATAGGCAATGAAAATGTCACCCACAATTTTATTCAGTACTCTTGATAACTAAAGCTATAGATACATGTGTATTTTATTACAATGAATGTCAAAAACATTACTATACATTCACTTTTTTTCATTATTTTCTTTCACAACATGTTATGAGACAGAATAAGTCACTGAACTCTTAAAATACTCATAAAGTTATGCTCAAAACTATGAAAAATTGTTAGTGCACGAACATCACCCATGATAATTTTTGGATTTTATGCATTGCTATATAATGCATGACTGTCTTCCATGAGGCAATTAGAGGGTAATAATATGTTTCTCGACCAATCAGATTCAAGTTTTTTTTAATATATTCGATCAGTGCATATTATCTATTCAAGATATATTACTAAAGTCAGGTACTCTTCACACAATTGTTCCGAAGAAAATAGTTCCATTCATGATCAGTAGATAAAACATTACAACAAATATTAAGAATAATCATGTATATTTAATACGTTAAAGAAAACAAAATTAACGTTAAAAGATTTTCAGAAAATCACTTTTTCCCCAGAAAAGCAAATAAAAAGTTTTCATATTCCTACGCTCGCTGCCTCCTCAGTCTTTTTCACGAAAATATATAGGTCACACTTCGATTGATAATGATAAATCTTTTCACCAATTATATAACTGTCATGATTATTGTTCGTCAATTGCCGTATATTTTCTTTTGAGTGAGAATATTAATCATAAACTGTGTGTGTGTGTGGTTTTTTTTTTTCTCTCTTTTTTTAAATAACGGAATGGTTATTATGTGGTTAAACACCTGCAATCGTAACTTCTCGGCAAAGCAACGTGATTTGCCGTGATTTGCCGAGCTCGTCTGAAAGGATCTTCGCACGTGTGTAAACCTAGTCTATTTGGTCTTGCAAGCACAGGTATGTGCACCGTTCGTTAGTGACGCTTAGATCATGTAGACTGGATATCAGTATTTGCTACGGACATGAAGAAGAACTATACACCAGTTTCATAACAAGTGCAGGTTTTTTACTCAAGCCCTAGACTGGGCTAGAGGGGCTGAGTCACCTAAAACAATGCTAGATCATTGATCTACTCAGTTTAAAAACACGAAAATATACTATTTTTGTAAATAAAAACATTTCTAGAAACAAAAATGAAGTTTATCTTCAAAACGTCTCTATATTCAAAATCTATATAAAGTGTTAAATGTCGGATTTTATCAGTTTATTCTATGACGAAGGAGTGATGCTCCACAGCCGCAACCGATCTCGCGCTTTCCTTTGCGTTTAACAACGGCCGTCAATGCATCTCTAGACAAGTTCATTGATTACTCTTGTTGACCCATCTTTTACATCTGCCTATACTTTGAGTGATAGTACTTTGATAGCACAAAATTAAAAAATAAATTAAAAAATCTATCCTTGATAGATCTATAGTTTTGCTATTTAAAAAAAATGGGCTATCTTTGATCTTTGCTTGGACTTGTTTCGAATTTTTACAGAAGATTCTATCATTGGAAAGTTAGATGGTACACATGTAGCACAGGCCCATAGTACGCGGGATTTTTTCGGAGCCCCCCCCCCCTTCACTTTGAAAACGTTGCTACAGTCCTGTAACATGCTATTTGGATTAAATATTCCTGAAAATGAGTGAACTGTTAAATACATCTTCAAAATTATACGGTTAATTATATTTACTAGTCTATGTTCTATGTGAAATTAAAACTATTTCTATAGGCATCTGCAACGTTGTGATAATAAAAGTCACTAATCGCATGTAACGTTATATACATGTATGTACATGCAGTTTCCTTAGTACATGCATATCTTATTCAACAAAAGATGTTGAAACTCAGTAGCCTAAATATTATGTCATTTTAGGTTATTTATGGCCATTGTTTAGTTGACTTTCTACAGCTTGAGTATCTCTGACGTTTTATCAGTAAATAGTTTTTTTTAAATTAGAAATCATCTGAGCACAATGAAAATTCGAATAAATTAAAAGTCGAATATCTTGGATATGGGATAACCCATATCTATTCTTGTTATGAAGTATAATATATATTGTATATTTATTTTAATTTGAAGTCCAAAATGACAGTGAACCTGAGGGAACAATAGGAGATATCCAGAAGAAGATTATGCCATGGCGACTGATGAACCCTGACGATGTGAACATAGAAGAAATGGAAAATCCCAAACATCGTCGCAGATCTGAAGGACTGATCTTGGTCACATCACTGATTGACAAGGTGCCTAACCTCGGAGGTTAGTTCATATTAATGAAAGAGATACATAATCTCCGCAGATTTAGCTAGCTGTGATTTCTGAGATCATACAGATTTTTTTTTTACAGGACTTTGCAGAACCAGTGAAATTTTTGGAGTGTCAGAGTTTGTTTTAAATAAGCTTGCCTATGTGGAGGATAAGGTTTTTCAGACTCTTAGTGTCACAGCTCATAAATGGCTTCCTATCAGAGAGGTTAGTGTATTATTCACTTTATAACTTGATTTGAATTTTGAGATATGACACTCTTTGTATTGTACTAAATACTGTGATGTCAGTAATTTTGGTGGGGATTCTTCACAATTTTGGTTTTCATAAAATATGCAATTTCATTGATAGGTAAATTCATGGTCACCTACCTTGTCCTATTCTAAAATTATGCATAAAATTTGCAGTTTATTGATCACTTAACTTCATATGCTCAGCCACAAAACAACCAAAATTGTGTTCAACAGAAAATATTTACATTCCACAAGTGATGATTCAATGCTTAAATGATGAAACCACAGTACCAATTTCATTGTTATGATTACAGTAAAACTTTGTTATAGTGAAGTCTTGAATTGGAGACTTGCGAATTTATTTAGCTACAGTTAAACTTCGGTATCTCGAAGAGATATCTCGAATACCATGGATATTTCTAAGTGATTGGGAAGTCCTCACCAAGTATTTCTGAAGTATTTTACCCTCAATATTTCGAACCCTTGGATATCTCGAAGTTTTTCTCTGTCCCATCAAGTTCGAGATAACGAGGTTTGACTGTACATGTATATCCATAATTCATTATATCCATAAAACAAATTTGTTAAAGTATATATATATAGCAAATTCGCAATGTTTTCTGATGAATTTCAAATAAAAACACTTATTAAAAAAATAATTTCAGATCAAGATTTTTGAAATTGAGATTTTTGAAAAATTGTTACAAAAGATGTAAATTCTGTTATTTTCTACCTTGTATGGGACACAAAATCAGTTCGCTATATTTGTAAATTTGCTATAACAGAGTTTGTTGTAACTGTTAGAATTTTACAAAAAAACTGTCAAAAATTTTGCCAGGGATTTGAAAAAACCTTCACTATATTCATAAATTTGTTATATCCATGTTTGTACTAAATGAGTTTTACTGTAATTAAAAAACATTTGTAAAAACTGCAACCAGTAGTGTGACTTTTATTTTCCATACCATTACAGAAAATGAACTAAATGTCTGAGCAAAATAATGTTTTCTGTTGTAGGTTTTCTATGCCCATCTTCCAGAATATTTTCAACAGAAAAAATCACAGGGATACACCTTGGTCGGGGTGGAGCAAACAGCTAACAGTGTGTCACTAAACGACTTCAAGTTCCCTGCCAAAACACTTCTACTTTTAGGGTATTGTGCAGTTTTGTTTATTTATGATTTATTTTTTGATTCTCCAGGGAGAAAACATTTTTAAATTGCTCCCAAAGTGGAGTTCTCAAATATCCAATTGTTAAGTAGCTTTCTGTTTGTCCATGAACAATTTTTAGGTCACCTGAGTGACTCAGGTGAACCTACGGTGCAGGAAACTAACTTTGTTACAACATCAATGCTGATTTTTTTTAATCTTTTGCTTGCTGATTTGAATGCTTCGTTTGCTTGCCAATTTAATGTTACTAATGCTAGTTATTCTGATCCTTATCCTTTGCCGTTTCAACACTAAGTCAATCAACCAGAATTAGTAGAAAAAGAAGGTTAAAAGTCCAAGTGAAAATATTTTAGACTAACTATATATACAAGTAAAACCACATATGGTCAAGAATATTCATGACATTAAATTATTCAACTAACTATTAATTTCCTTTAGAAATGAGAAGGAGGGAATTCCTGCTGACTTGATTAGCTTGTTGGATGTTTGTGTGGAAATTCCACAACAAGGAGTGATACGATCCCTAAATGTCCATGTCAGTGGAGCTATTTTGGTGTGGGAGTACAGAAGACAGCACATGATTAAGGACAAAATCTCTGCCTCAAGCAGCTAGTGCAGAACAAAAAGTTCAAAAAAAAAAAAAGAGTTCTATGGTCTGCAAGAAGTTTAAAAAATTGAACATTTGAGAGTAACAGGAAAGGCTTTAAACAGCAGAATTTAATGACCTTTGTCCCAAGATATACATGTATACCTAGGATGTGATAGAGTTATGTGTCCTGGAAAAAATATCTATCTGGCTCATGCTAATATCATTAAATTAAGTAAAATATCAAAAAAGGTTGATTTGCATAGAAAGGAAAGAATGTGATGTAATTTTAACAGTGCCATAACCAGCATTCTAAATGTGTTATCTTTGATGAAATGTTAGTCTAATGTACATATTTTAGTGTTTTTTATTTAAAGGCCACAAATTTTTAGCTCTTCTGAGCCCAAGGCTTGCTTGGCAAGATTAATAAAATTGGTCACAGAGTATCCTTGACCCAAGAGCTTTCATTCATACTGAAAATAGGGATGTTACTTTTAAACAAGTGGAGATAATTATGGAAATGAAAAGTAGAGGTTGCTAAGAAAACCTTTTCAAGAACCACTGGGCAGATTATCATCAGACTTCTACATAAGGATGAGGATATGTTGCAGGATAAAATTGATCAAGGCATCACCCTTTGAGAAAGGATGTGGTCTAAAGGTCACTTCAAAGTTGACCTAAGATGTTAATTTATTAAAACTTTGATATTTTGCTCACTATAAGCACTATATAGGATAATCAAACCTTTTCAGTTGCTGTATCTTAGGAACTCTAGATATGTTGATCTAAAAATAGGTCACTTTGACCTTTTTAGCATCTTACTAATATTTATTGTTAAATCTTCACATCTTTGATACTAAAAGTGCAGTCATACCCAAATAAAAATAATCAGAAGTTTTTTTCTGGTTAAGGACATCCTCGCAATGCCAGGAGTCCTGAGTCAACACGTTGCCGTTGGACCTCTGGCATATTTAATTCGATATTTTGTGGGATGACTGAAGCGACGTCTTTCGGAAAAATTACCACAAAATTACAAATCTTGATTGTTTTTCTTATCTTTCAACCAATCACATTAAGCCATTCTATGATAAACAACTTGTAAAACTTGCATTTGAGGTGTCAACTGAATCTTTATCTAGCTTCTCAATGAGAGAAGCAAGCCCTAAAATATCGAATGAAATATGCCAGGGGTCCAACGGCAACGTGTTCACTCAGGACCCCTGGCATTGCGAGGATGGGTTAGGGATGGTCTATGGCAACAGTTTGTCATAGTTTAGGTAGCTACTATATTTACTATATAATCCATGCAAACTGAATGATTTCCATATTAATCGTAATTAAGGGAACTATTAATTTTTTTATCATTGAAGTGTAATTTGTGATATATTTGTTTAAACTGAGATTATATGACAACATTTTGGTTAAAAATTATTCAATGCTTTTGAGAAATGACTACTATAGAAGGCGAAAATGGCTATCAAATGCGCTATGGCTCTTTGCAGCCCTCACGAGAAAGTGGTGGCGTCTCAATATGAGTGAACATTTCTCAAAATGAACGTTAAACAAACAATTAACTGCAGATCGAGTAACTGCATGAATCTACTGTTTATACCCGATAATCACATGATTTATTCAAACACACTACATATAACCATGCCGTACATGTATTTGAATTTTTATAAGAATAAATTTTATAATACCTTAGGGGGGGGGGGGGCTATGCTTTGGGTGCAAGATGGTCACCATTTCTATTTCTAGAAATACATGTACAAGTTTTATTTGATTCTACCACTGAACAGAGTTGTCATCGTAATTCATGTGTTTTAATGGCACACCTAATCTGAATGTGAAATACATTCAAGTTTTATTTAAGTCCAAAGACATTGTTATACCTTTAAAAATTGTGTCCTATATAATTCTATACTAAAAAAAAGTCTAACATTTCCTATGTTTTTTCTAAGCGGGCATAAAAAAAATCGATGTTTGACCGCAGAGTGAGATGTTGGACCGCTTACGTCACACGGTGGGTGGGGTCAGCTATATCATATTTGCATTCGTTGGAGTTTGACAGAACTGCAGTGCGGGTAAACGAAATTTACATCACGATATGTCAAATTAAAAAGTAAAAGGTATAACAAAACATTTATTGACTGTGTTCTTGGGCAAAATGTGTTTTGTCGACCCCTCGAACCAAACTGTTTGCCTTCGGCCTAACGGACTCAGGCAAACAGTTTGGTTCTTGGGTCCGACAAAACGCATGTTGCCCTCGAACCCCGTCAATAAATGTATATTGTATAATATTTTCCATTTCTATTTGTTTTCTCTGTGATAACTCTTTGAAAGTTAGTTGAGTTGATTTCTTGATCATTCTACCGGAATGTAAATTTCGCCAAGCGAATAGGTGAGGAGCTAAGGGGGCCTAATATGCATGTAAATCTCGTGCGTCTGTCTTCGTGTCTGACGCTAAGGAGGCCTAACATGCCTGTAAATCTTGTGCGGCTGTCTTTGTGTTTGACGTCAGTGGGCGGGAACTATTGAAATTGACATGGGAGGCCTCATGTAATTTAAATCTATTAGTCTACATTTTTATTAGTCCCCTACCGGTGAAACCGGAGGGGACCATAGGTTTCCTCTGAGTCTGTCCGTCCATCTGTCTAGCTGTCCCTCTGTCTGTATGTCAGTCTGTCCCGCTTGGTTTTCCGCACTTTTTTTCTAAATGCTTGCAGATATTGAGCTGATTTTTGGTATGTGAGTGTATCTTGATAAGTTACAGATCAAGTTTGCATTTCGTTCCGCTCCATTGATATTTGACGGAATTATGGCATTTTTAATGGAACCAGATTACACTTGCCAGTAGGCGACTAGTATTGATAATGCAATACTCTCAGTATGCTTGTTCATTTAAAATCTAAATTAACAATTTTATTTCACAATGAAATGGAAATATAGGGACTCACTGTTTAGTTAGTAGAGTATGCCAGGGACATCAACAATAGTTGGAAACGTGGGATAATTTATGCATAACGGGCTTCGCATAAATGAACATACTGAGTAAATTATATACTTTGGTAAGATCACAAACATACTGAAGAGTGACTCTCTTTATTATATTATCTACTACTTTGAGGAAAAATACTTCAAACACAAATGTTTGTTATACCTTTAAAATTTAGTTCCTATATAAATCTATACTTTAAAAAAGTCTAACATTTCTAATGTTTTACTGAGCAGTCATAAAAAAAATCGATGTTTGACCGCAGAATGAGATATTGGATCTGTGGACGAGATACTATACTTGTACATAAATTGGCGTATTCAAGCACAATCAAGGGGTATGGAGTTGTTGGCGTAATCATGAATTTGTGCTACATATGTCCGTGCCGTGTATTGTATTAGTAAATGATTTCTTAGCGGTATTCATGAATTAGCGCGTCGTTGTCCCCGCCAAAGCCGCTAAAATATTAAGCCCGCTTTTTAAAGTACACATACAGTATTGGACCGCTTACGTCACACTGTGGGCGGGATCAGCTAAATCTTATTTGCATTCGTTGGTATGGAAGCCAGCAAAAGATACATGTATAACAAAAAGAAAAGAGAAAATAAATAAAGGAAAAAAGGTATAACAAAACATTTATTGACTGTGTTCTCGAGCAAAATGCCTAAGGGCCTCAGGGAATCAGTTTGGTTCTTGGGTCCGACAAAACGCATGTTGCCCTCGAACCCAGTCAATAAATGTATAATATATAAGAAAGACCAAAACATTCCATTCAAACGAAAAATTTTACTTCTATATTGATTTATCCTTGTCGTAGGAAACCTGTAAAAAAAAATTGTAGTTACCGAAATTACCATTAATTTTGTCTAAGAAGGAAAATAATATACATTTATTGACCATTAATTTTGTCAAAGAAGGAAAAGAGTGACGACTGTTACGTAATGACACGCCCATTTCTTCAGAAACGAGAAAGCAATACTCATCGCAATGTTTTAAGACACCCCACTCTCAGAGACTAGTAACGCGAGTTTGCTGACATTTGGACTTTATGAAGTTAGGAGAGAGAGATAGAAACTGAGCTTCTGTAAAACTCACGTATTGCAACAAATATGTATAACATAATTACATGTGTGTATTTGTTACGTTTATTGAAGTTATCTCAAAACAGTATCAATCGAACACGTTTCCCCGGTGTTTATGTAAACTGCCAATCTGATTGGCTAT